GGATTGCTGCCAGGCGCCATGGCTGCGAATCCGCGCGGGAAGGCCGAGACATTGGCTCGGAGGCGACGGCTGCTCAGGTACCAAGAGGGCAGTGTGGGCGGCGCTCACGCACGACGCACGCTTGGACGGCGCGGAGCTCGCTGACCCCAGTTCCGCCCGGCCTCGCCCGGCCCTAGCTGTCTATGTCTCGAGCCTCAGTCCTGCGCAGCGGATCTGGGCAGCTGCTTCCCCCACCCCGCAGCCCGCGCTGCCGCTCATAAGCCCAGCCCACCTGCAGTCACTGCCGGGCTCTTGGCAGCCTTTTCTCCCCGGAGATAGCTTTTGCCTGGCACCCGGGAGGACCGCGCCCAGGGGCGGCCCTAAACAGGACCTGGCCTGGACTGAGAGCGACCCAGCAAGGGACTAAAGTTCAGACGGAGGGTGGGGGTGGGGAGTCGTTTCATAAGCAGCCCTAGAGAACTTCTACCCTAGACCTGTGTAAGGGGCTCTTATTGGGACATAGGACGCGAGGCAGCCTCGGGCTTGAGCATGGGGTTGGCATCCAGCAGGGCAGCAGGGTCAATTGGCTGGCAAGGACCATTGAGGGCCGCGAGCCAGCCACCTAATGGGGGTGCCCTCCCTCACACCCATCCCAGCAAATAAAAACTGCCTTAGGTAGCTTTGTGGGTCTGGGGCAGCCACCTTTTCCTGGGATTCAAGGGACTGACGTGGGCACATACGGAAATGAATGAGACCACATAGCCTTCAAATGACTTAAGAAATTTAGTTTAGCAACTTACTCCCTCTTCTGCTTTCCAGTCAGTTCCCTATGGAGTGGGGGAACTAGAGGCAGAGAAGCAACACCGTGCCCTTCAAGCTTTTATCCTTTTGAGAAACTGGAAGGGGTGGGGAGGCCTGTGAAGGGTGGACTTCTCCCTTCAGGGCTTCAGACATGGCTGTCCACCCCTTGCCTGTCTCCACAGCTCTTCCTGCAGACTCTTTTTTCCCGAGGATCCTATTAAGATTGTCCGGGGCCAAGGGCAATACGTGTATGATGAACAGGGCACAGAATACATCGATTGCATCAACAATGTGGCTCACGGTCAGTACCATCCCCCAGGCCAGGAAAGGAGGCTGTGACTGTGAACTTGGTCCAAGGGTAGGCCTGAGGTGCGGAGTGGAGCGCTTGGGTCGAGCTGAGCAGAAGAGGCCCAGGCTTTCTGGTGTAGCCCTAGAAGTTTCCAAGTGGGATTTGTGTTAAACCTGGCAGCAGTCACAGACCAGGTAATGGCAAGCACAGAGAGCAGCAGTCAGCCCAGCCATGACCAGCAACACAGCAGGGTCCTGGCCAGGTACTGGGAGTCATGACGGGGCTTCAGTCCCAGTGACCGTCTCAGGTCCTGGGAAAGGAAACTGAAGTAGGAATTTGGTTATCCAGTTGGAACTGCTAGGACTGATGAAGGGAAAGCGAGTCTCTGACTCAGCCGGCACCTTGGAGGTTAGTAAAGTGGAAGCTAAAAGCAGGGACTCTACTCTGGGTTCATTCCCTGTTCTCCACTTGTTAACTTGTAATCTTGAGCAAGTTGCTTAATGCTCTGTGCCCTAGTTTGCTCATCTGCAAAATAGATGTAATCATACCAGGTACCCACCTCAAGGTGTTTCAGAGGATTCAGTGAGTTAATTCATGTAATTTGCTTTGAGCATGCCTGGCACCTGGGGAGCTGCCAACATGTGTTTGCTGCTAGCATAACCTCTGGCAGTTGGCAGTCATTACCCCTAGCCCCCACTGACTGGTGAGGTCTACCCCAACCCCCTCCATACCCCATGCCATCCCCCACCAAAGACACGGGTTTCTAGATAGGGTTTCTGCAGTCTCAGGGAACCCTTTCTAGGGCTCACGTTCCAGAACTGGCATCTCTGTCTCCCACCCCCACACTGTCTTCAGAATCCCCTCTTTCCTCTCCATATCTCCCTCTATAACTGCATCTTCTCTGGCCGGGTTGGGACTGGGGGAGACCCAGTGGGATCGGCCAAGCAGGGCCGGCTGTGTGATGGAGGTGGCCCTCTTCCAGTTGGGCACTGCCACCCTCTCGTGGTCCAAGCGGCACATGAACAGAACCAGGTGCTCAACACCAACAGCCGGTACCTGCATGACAACATCGTGGATTACGCACAGAGGCTGTCCGAAACCCTGCCGGAGAAGCTCTGTGTTTTTTATTTCCTGAATTCTGGGTAAGTGCATTGCAGCCACCCCCAGCAAGAGAGTGAGATGACAGCGAAGGAAGGTGCTCGTGTGTGCGCAGCCTAGTGTAGCCCACCGAGTGTGGACTGGGGGAAAGGTCACCCTCTCTGTGTGGGGTCTGAGCTTCCTGGCTCTAGACCCTGGTGCTTCCTCTGTCCGACCCAGTTTCCTGGTCTCTTAGGACAGGATGCCACTACCTCCCTTCCAAGATCCTTGTTGGGATTTACAAGGTGTTAGGTTCCTTTATTTCTGCCTTAGGAGTGCACAGGCATAGTGCTGGGGGCTGCGGCCCAAATTCCTTTGCTCCGCTCGCTCAGTAAGGAACAAAAACATCAAGCGAATCTTCAAGGAAACACAAAATTTTGAAGAGAGGTCATTGTCTGAAGGAGAAGTACAGGGTATGGTGAAGCACAGAAGCAGTGCGGGGGGTGGCCTGGCCTGCTCAGAGAGGGTCAGGAAAGGCTTCTCTGAAGAGGTAATACTGGACTAAGAGCCAACTAGGAGATAAGCAGATGAGGAGGAAAGAAGGGTGCTGCCCACTCCATCGTAAGTGTTCCTGTCAAGGTTGGTCACCACACAGGACAGCCTGTGCAGAGGCCCTGCAGCAGGAAGGGTCATGGTTCCCGGGCACACCTGAGGAACTAAAAGGCGGCCAGTAAGGGAGGGGAGAGGGCAGGAGTGGACGGTGGAGAAGAAGGCATGGCCCACCATCTAGGGTCTTATCAGCCAAATGAGGAATCCATTTCTTTCCTAAGAGCATCAGGAAGTCATCAGAGGATTTTAATTAGGCAAATGATGTCATCAGGGCTGGGGAAGAGCAAGAATGGACACCATTAGGTGCCATTTCAGTGGCCAAGTGACAGGTGATGGCATCTCACACTAGGAGTGGCAATGAAGACAGAAATGGCAGGTGATGACATGTACACAGAACCAGCCCAGCATCCTGGGAGAGAACATTCCAACAAATGACAGGTTGTGGCATTTAGATTATAGTAATTATTATTGCCATTATCCTCGCCATTGATGTAGTACGCTCACTCATCAGTCTCCCCCACACACAATAATTTCTAGGAAGTGGAATTTACATCTTCATTTTACAGATAAGGAAACAGCAGTTCAAAGAAAGGAACTAGCTTGCCCAGGGTCATCCTCATAGGGGCGGAAGCCAGGACTGGAGCCTCTCCGGGGAGAGTGGAAGCCATGCCCAGGAGTGGGAGCCTCTTTGGCAGTGGAGGGAGGGGCATTTGCTGGCTTATCCCACCATATTTGCTCGGTGGATTCCAGGGACTTCTGTGTTGCCAAATCCAGTGGTCTCTTTGCTGCCCTTGTCTCACTCTGCCTTGGCAGCGCTGACACTTACCATTCTCTCTGGAAATGCTCCGGGGCACCACGCACCCCTGGTTTTCCACTAGCCTCTGGCAGCTCCTCCTCTGTTTCCTTTGCCAATCCCTCCCCCTCTGTTCCTCAGGGCTGGTCCTCTCCGAGCCTTCTTCCTGCTTGAGCTCATCCACTGCCATGGGATTACGTATCAGCCATGTGCTCGTGGCTCCCAAATTTGTGTCTCAAGCCCAGATTCCTCCCATGTGTTCCAGCCTTCTGGTTCTAACCATGCACTTGGCTTCTTGAACATCTCCAACTTCACATGTCCAGACAGCAGTCAGGAGTCGATTGTCTTCTGCCAACACCTGGTGTAGGACCGTGGCCCTGGCCACTCCTACCCCAGACGTTCCCAGGAAGGCATCCCCCTCTCAACCGCTCCTGCCCGGTCTCACCTTGTAAATGGCAGTCCCATCTGCATCTCTGCTCAAGGCAGAAACCTTCCTCCCAATCCTGCCTCAACTGTCTCCAGGACACCTCACTCCATCTACCTCCCTTCATCTCCATGGCCACCACCTGGGCTTACCTGTGTGTCTTCCTTCTTGGTCGCCTCACTTCCACTGTAATTTCCTTCTCCATTAGACTCACATAGCCAGAGACGCCTCACATGGTAGCTGAGTCATTCTCTGATTAAAACTCTTCAGTAGCTTAGCATGGCACTGAGAAGAAACCGCAGCCCCTTCCAAGGCCCCAAGAGCGTGGCCCTGCACCCCTTCCCACTTCCACTCCCTTGCGGCCCCTCACCCTCCTTGCCCTCTCTTAGTCCCTGAGCACCCCGAGCTCTTTTCCTTCACAGGGCCTCTGTGCATGCTGCTCCCTGTGCCTGGAAACTTCCCCCTGAGGACTCGGCGCCAGTGTCGCCTCCTCTTAGATTCCTTCCCAGACCTCCTGTTTTAGTAAGCTCAGGCTGCCATAACAGAATAGCACCGATGGGGAGGTTTAAACAACAGACATTTGTTTTCTCATACTTCTTGGCCAGATCCAAGATCAAGGTGTCAGCAGGTTTGGTTTCTTTGAGGCCTCTCTCCTTGGTTTGCGGACAGCCACCTTTTTGCTGTCTTCATGAGGTCTTTCCTGTGTCCAAATTGCCTCTCTTATAAGGATGCTACTCAGGTTGGATGAAGGCCTATCCTGATGGCCTCATTTTAACTTAATCACCTCTTAAAGGCCCTGTCTCCAAATACAGTCACAACCTGGGAGACTGGGGATTAGGGCTTCAAGATATGAGTTTTGCGGGACACAGTTCATCCCATAACACCCCCTCTTCTAAAATAGGGCCCCATCTGGTTTTCCTGGGGCACTTATGAAAATGATTACCCTTCCTTTCTTTGTTTTTCTGGCTTGCATGGCATGTACTAGAATGTAAGTTCCAGAAGGGTCAGGGCCTATCTGTTTTACTATTTTCACCCCCAGCTCCTAGTACATGGAAGGCATTTGATAAATTTTTACCAAATGACTAGCAAATGGTGTCCTGAGAATCTTCTCGCTGCTGGCAGGGCTCCTCCTTTCCTCAGATTTCTCTGTAGGAAGCAGGTCTCCAGGGGGAAAGCCCTTGGACAGCTGTCTGAGAAGTGAAGTGCCCACTTTTTCTGTCGTAGGTCAGAAGCCAATGACCTAGCCCTGAGGCTGGCCCGCCAGTACACAGGACACTGGGACGTGGTGGTATTAGACCAGTAAGTGCTGTTCCCAGAAGCCTGGGCTTACTGCTTCCTGAGGATCGGTGAGGCTCTGACTTTGGATGCCTTGGGCAGGAAGGATGAGGGGCATGGCTGCAGACACCTCTCA